AGATGCTATCCTATCAATATGGGCCAACATTTCTAAAGAATGCTTTCAGCACCCTGTTGAATCAATGCCACGTAGAATTAAGGCAGTTCTGAAGGTGAAAGGGGGTCAAACACCGTATTAGTATGGTGTTCCTAATAATCCTTTAGGTGAGTGTATACTGTATATCAATTGCACATTCCTGTTTAATGAAAGAAGTGAAAGAAACCAAAACATCACCTCCTGATCTTCTCCTCCATCAGATTCCTGTCAGCTCACTCTGGACCCCAACACAGCAAACAAATACCTCCATCTGTCTGAGGATAACAGAGTGGTGAGATGGAAGAGAGAGACACAGTCATATCCTAATCACCAGGAGAGGTTTGACCCACGCTGCTATGTGCTGTGTACAGAGGGTCTGACTGGGCGCCGCTACTGGGAGGTTGAGTGGAGCGGGAATGAGGTTGGTATAGCCGTCACATATAAAGGAATCAGCAGGAAAGGACTGGGAGTGCACAGTGGGTTTGGACACAATGACAAGTCCTGGTGTTTGTCCTGCTACCCCTTCTGTTACTCATTCCGGCATAACAATAAGAAGACTGCGATAGCTGGCCCCCACTCCCCCAGGATAGGAGTGTACCTGGATCACAGGGCAGGAACTCTGTCCTTCTACAGAGTCTCTGACACAATGACCCTCCTGCACAGGGTCCAGGCCACGTTCACTGAGCCCCTCTATCCTGGGTTTCAGCTTTGGAGCAGTACAGCCAGACTGTGCTAAATAACCTAACATCTCTTTAAATCTGGTGTATTTAATATTTTGTGTGAAATATGTAAATAATGGATATTAAAATAAATGTAATTAAAACCACAGTTTTACAGATTTCTTGTAAATTGTGCCTTTTGGCCATTTATACGTGGAAATAAAATAACCAATACTTTTCTAAATTTTTATGCAAAATTTTTGTGCAGTGACCTTGAAGCTTGATCTGTATATGTGTCTGTGTGTAGTCCTTTTAATAACAGTAACAGGTTTAGTTAGCATATCGTTCAAAATGATTCCTTCTGTCCAATGAAAATGATTATTTTTGTCAAATAATTTTTATGCAGTCATTTATACTTTTTATGGATATTATAATCTGTATAAGTTCATCAGTTGTCACGATTTTGTCATGTAAAATATCTGTATGAATAATTAAAGATTCCTTCAATAGGGATAATGCTGAAGTTTTTACATCATTTATGTATTTTACACGGTTGACATTTGGGAAAACCAATGAATTGATATACAGTGGGTACGGAAAGTATTCAGACCCCCTTCAATTTTTCACTCTGTTATATTGAAGCCATTTGCTAAAATCATTTAAAAAAAAATTTTCCCCCTCATTAATGTACACACAGCACCCCATATTGACAGACAAAAAAAATTATTTTTGAAATTGTTGCAGATTTATTAAAAGAGAAAAAACTGAAATATCACATGGTCCTAAGTATTCAGACCCTTTGCTCAGTATTTAGTAGAAGCACCCTTTTGAGTTAATACAGCCATGAGTCTTCTTGGGAAAGATGCAACAAGTTTTTCACACCTGGATTTGGGGATCCTCTGCCATTCCTCCTTGCAGATCCTCTCCAGTTCTGTCAGGTTGGATGATAAACGTTGGTGGACAGCCATTTTTATGGCTCTCCGGAGATGCTCAAATTGGGTTTAAGTCAGGGCTCTGGCTGGGCCATTCAAGAACAGTCACAGAGCTGTTGTGAAGCCACTCCTTCGTTATTTTAGCTGTGTGCTTAGGGTCATTGTCTTGCTGGAAGGTAAACCTTCGGCCCAGTCTGAGGTCCTTAGCACTCTGGAGAAGGTTTTTGTCCAGGATATCCCTGTACTTGGCCGCATTCATCTTTCCCTTGATTGCAACCAGTCATCCTGTCCCTGCAGCTGAAAAACACCCCCACAGCATGATGCTGCCACCGCCATGCTTCAATGTGGGGACTGTATTGGACAAGTGATGAGCAGTGCCTGATTGTCTCTACACATACCGTTTAGAATTAAGGCCAAAAAGTTCTATCTTGGTCTCATCAGACCAGAGAATCTTATTTCTCACCATCTCAGAGTCCTTCAGGTGT